GCTGGGAAAGATCGAGGGCAGGAGGAGAAGGGGACCACAGAGGATGAGATGGTTGGGTGGCATCACCGACTCAATGGACATGGGTTTGGGTGGACTCTGGGAGTGGATGATGAATAGGGAGGCCTGGCGTGCTGCGGGCCATGGGGTCGCAATGAGTCGGACACGACTGAACTGACTGAACAACTTCATGATATCTGGTATGTATATATTACAAATCAGGTGGATGAGAAATGGAATATTTCCTGCCATGTGAGACAAAGGATGTCATAGTCATCAGTGACCGAGGCCCTTCAGTGGGAGCCTTGGAGACCCCAGGGAGAGCCAGGAAGGAGGACTAGCTCTGACATCCAGCAGCCAGGGGAGCACAGCCGCTCCCTGCCGTGAGCGCTGAGGAAGCTCGGGGCGTGAGAGCACGGGGTACTGGCCCCAGAGAGCCGGGACGCATGCCCAAGGCGTGATTTCAGTGAGCCCAGACTCCTGCATCTTCCTGTACAGAGAAAAGCACTGAATTCCTTGAGGATCTGGTTTTCTTTACCAGTAACCCTTTGACATTCAAACTACCTGCCCGTTGTTGCAAGACTATATAACCTGGCTCCCCGCCTGCTGCCTCGACACTCTGGAACAGTTCTCTCAGGGTTCCCTGAGAGGCTATGCCCGGGCTTGACGCCCTAAGGATTCCTGCCAAAGAAAACGTAACTCTCGACTTGCAGCTTGTACATATTTTTTCAAGTTGACAATAGATATTTTAATTGGTAGTTTAAAACAACCCTTCCCCCCAAAATAGAAAGCTCATGACAGGCTTCAATGGCAAACCCACCAACACCAAACATAAAAGGAAAACAGGAAACTTTTCATACCAGCTCTACACAAATTCACACAAGATAGGTTAGAAATACTTCTCAATTCATTTTATGAGGGCAGGTTTACTGTGATATCAAAACTAGACAAAAAAGTATTTCAAGAAAACTACAGGTCAGTATCCCACATGAACACAGAAAAATCCTCCAACAAGTATTAGGAAAAAACCCAGCCACACATAAAAATGATATAGCATTGTTGACAAGTGCAGTTGCATCCTGGGATTGCAAGATTGTTCAAGGTTTGAAAATTGTCGACAAAAAGCTGGCACTCACCAAGGGCGTTTGCCATCCACCTCTGTGGGGACTGGTCCTGTGCGTGGCAGCTGTCAACCTTTGACATGCCCTGAAAGGAGTTCAGGGTGGACAACAGGGATGAGGCATCTTGTGCTCCAGGAAAACTGGTGAAGCAGTTATTTTCAGGAACTGATTTTATGAGCCCAATGCTTGCATGTCTTCATATCCAATAAAAGCACTAAATCCCTTCGTGGTGACATCAGCTCCTCATCCCTAGCAGAAAACCTTTTGTACGCTAAGTGCTTGATTGCATGAACTCTCCCTTCACCAGAATCACATAAACTGACCTTCCCCCCTCACCCCACCTCTTTGGCGCAGTCTCTCAGAACCATCTGAGGTGCTGTCTCCGGGGAGGCAGCCCACATTTTGCTCCAAATAAAACTTAACTTACATCTGTCATGTTGTGTATCTTTTTTAAGTCAACAAAATCAGTTGATGTAATTCACCTTATCAACAGAAAAAGAAGAAAAACCAAGAGTCCGGTTCAAAATGGCGACATAGAAGGATCTTGAATTTATCTTCTCTAACGGACACTAAATCTACAGCTAAGAAGGGAAAATTTTCCTCTGTGGGAGATAAAAAAGAAAAAAAAACGCCTAGCTAAGTGACTCCTATGCATCAGACAAATGAGGAGAAACCTACAATGAAGCTGGGAGGAGAGACTGAGACAAAGTCTCACCATAAACCTCCCCCAGCACACTCACTCCGCCCTGCCCTACACTGCCAGGATCTCCCAGGATTAGCTTGCACACTCACTCTGCCTTGCCCCGGAGGATCTCCCAGAACTGCTTGCACACTCATTCCGCCTTGCTCCAGAATGCCAGGATCTCCCAGGATTAGCTTGCACACTCACTCGGCCTTGCCCCGGAGGATCTCCCAGGACTGCTTGCACACTCACTCGCCTTGCCCCAGAATGCCAGGATCTCCCAGGATTAGCTTGCACACTCACTCGGGCTTGCCCCAGACTGTCAGGATCTCCCAGGACTGCTTGCACACTCACTCCGCCTTGCCCCAGAATGCCAGGATCTCCCAGCACTGCTTGCACACTCACTCGCCTTGCCCCAGAACGCCAGGATCCCCCAGCACTGCTTGCACACTTGGTCTGGCACAGCAGTCACAGAAGCTGCTGCTCACGAGACACCTCCTGGTCTCTGCTGGCCACTGGGGCTTGCAGGCAACTGTCCCACAGGAATGTTACAATCAATCAGTCCTTGACCGGCTCCCCCTGCTCAGAAACAGCAGCTTGAAAGGAAGAAGTAAAACTGTCATTATTTACAGATGACATGATACTAAAAAGAAAACCCTGAAGACACTACCAAAAACTGCTAGAATAAATGAATTCAGTAAAGTTACAGGATAAAAAAAATATATACAAAAACCCCTTGCATTTCTGTACACTGTAACAAACTATGAGAAATTAAGAAAACAATCCCATTTACTATTGCATCCCAAAAAAAAAAAAAAAATTTAGGAATAAACTTAACCAAGGAGGTAAAAATTCTAAGAAACTGTGAAAGAAGTTCAAGAAGACACAAATAAATGGAAAGATATATATTCCATACTTATAGATTGAATAATTAATATTGTTAAAATGTCCATGTTACCCAAAGCAATCTACAGACTCAATGCAATCCCTATCAAAACCTCAATAGCATTTTTCACAGAAATAGAACAAATAATCCTAAAATTTTTGTGTAACCACAAGACTCCAAATAGCCAGAGCAATCTTGAGAAAGAAAAACAAAGTTGGATTCAACAGGCTTCCTTATTTTCAACTACATTATACAGCTGTGGTACCAAAACAGTGAGGCCTTGGCTTCAAAGGGCTTCCCTGTGGCTCAGATGGTAAAGAATCTGCCTGCAACACAGGAGATCCGGGTTCAATCCCTGGGTTGGGAAGATCCCCTGGAGAGGGGAATGGCAACCCACTCCACTATTCTTGCCTGGAGAATTCCACAGACAGAGGAGCCTGATACAGTCCACAGGGTCACAAAGAGTTGGACACGACTAAGTGACTAACATTAACTATTGGCATAAAAATAGACATATAGTTTATATAGATCAACACAGCTGACTAGAAAGCCCAGAGATAAACCCAGGGATATATGGTCACTTAATGTTTGACAAAGGAGCCAAGGATATATAGTAGAAGAATAGTCTCTCCAGGAAACGGTGCTGGGAAAACTGGATGCCACATATAAAAGAGTAGAACTGGGCCTGCACCATACGTAAGAATTAACTCAGAATGGATTAAAGTTGTGAACGCAAGACCTGAAACCACAAGACTCCCAGAAGGAAAACACGGATGGTCACCTCCTTGACTTCAATCTTGGTGATGATTTTCTATATAAAAATATAAATGTATGGGGTTACATCCATCAAAAAGCTCCTGCACAGCAAAGGAAACCACCAACAAAATTAAGAGGCAGCCTACAAATGGGAGAAAATATTTGCAAATCCCAAGTCTGATAAGGGGCTAATATCCAAAATATTGGAGGGTAATATCCAAAATATATGAAGAGCTCAAATAGTAGTAACAACAAAAAATAATCTGATTTAAAAATGGGCAGATGATCTGAATAGACATTTTTCTACTGAAGATATACAGATGGACAAGATATACAGGGCGCGGGGCGGCTCCCCAGGCTCCCTCTCGTCAGTCATCTTCGCCTCCACAGAGCCTCAGGCGGGCTTTCTTATAGTCCCCAGACGTGTCCCCCCAAACCCAAACGCACTCCGTTAACCTTCATGACTCACAGAAGCCACAGAAAAGAAAACATTAAGACAGATCTGGTAACATGTTTTATTCATATGACTTTTCTCCGAGTGCCTCTCACATCAGGAATGTTTGGGTTTTCTTTTTTAGTTTAAGTTTTTAAATCAGCTTTTCCAATAAACAATAGTGTTAGCACTGCTTTAGCTGATGCCCACATAAACATGCTACCAATAAATGAGAACGCTTAATGGCTTATTACATACTCTGTATGTGCTCAGTTGGTAATTTGTGTCCAACTCTTTGCAACCCCATGGACTGTAGCCCACCAGGCTCCTCTGAGAGTCCAGGGGGTTCTCCAGGCAAGAATACTGGAGTGGGTAGCCACTCCCTTTCCCAGGGGATCTTCTCCACCCCAGCATCTCTTACGTCTCCTGAATCGGCAGGTGGGTGCTTTACCGTCTGAGTCACCAGGGAAACTGCCTCTTCAGGTCCCCCCTCGTCCCCCGCTGCACAGGAAATTCATTCTGCAGTGTTGTAGCTCATGCTTTTCAACCAAAAGCCAACTTTTAATAACTTTCGACAATTCAGTTGTCAACTGATAACACTGTCAACTGACCAGCCTGAAAAAAATATATCTTGTTCAATATGTAAATCAAGTAAGTTTTCTAGACATACACCCACGAGCAATTCAGGAGATGGAAATGTTTATTATTCATTAATCTTTTGATTGCAACTACCATAATTTTTTAGGTTTAACTTGGTAGCAAACTTGATTAATAACACTTCCAGGAGTTCACAATTCCAAGGCTAAGGTTCCGATTAAGGTAATATGGTTATCAATTTAATATAAATGAAGCTTTTTAAAAAAGGTGAAAGCAGTCTGCCTCTTATAGGAAAATATAAATGATCCAGACTTTAGTCCTAGTAACATAAGTACACTTTAGTGCTACAACAGTTAAAGAGAAAGATCTTAAGATCAGAAAGGAGCACCGCTATGCTCTTCTACAACGTGTGTGTTCTGGCCACAGCATGCTAGCGTGAGTAAGGCAGTGTGCGCGGCACAGGCGTGCAGGGTGCGGTGAGCTGCGATGCTGGGCGGACATGGCGAGGGGCAGCTCCCCAGGCTCCCGTCAGTCATCTTCGCCTCCACAGAGCAGCAGCAGGGCTTTCTTATAGTCCCCAGACGTGTCCCCCTGAAACCCAAATGCACTCGGTTAACCTTCAGGACTCACAGAAGCCACAGAAAAGAAAACATTAAGACAGATCTGGTAACATGTTTTATTCATACGACTTTTCTCCAAGTGACTTTCACTTCAGGGATATTATAGAGAGTATCCTGCTGATGCAACTGATGTTTAACTTTATAATTTTACCCCTTAAAAGCTCAGTCCTATCTAAGACAGTGAAGTATGTTCTTCCCTCCAGTAACACAGAGAACAGGGAAGCTTTTATAACCATGTGCAACTCAAGCCTTCTGAACACATTCTAAGTCTCTGTCACACAGTGTATGTCTGGCTATGGGGGGTGGGCCACGCTGGGACGGCCTGGCTCTATGGCTTTGCCTCAGACAGGAGGGCAAGACACATTTTGCCTCTGCTTGTCTCATGCACAGATATGTGTGATAAGTTATGTTTCAGGCTATGAGTCACTGGGAGAACTCTGTAGTACCCATCAGCCAAGCCACATCTCACACACACACACACACACACAAAGGAAAAACTTGCTCAACTGAAACACTGCTTTGCACACAACCCACATTCCCCTTTATCAAACAGAAAGAGAGAGACAAAGACAGGAAGGAAGGGACGAAGGGAGGGAGGGAGGGAGGAAGGGAAACAAAAGAAAAACTCAGAAGGCTTCAAGCCAAATTTAATCACAAACCACAGTGTCCCTCGCTTTTAAAAGAACAAAAATGAGAGCAATACTTAAGCTCTTTACTTACTCCTAATATGACCTGTTCGGGTCTTTGCTGAACTATGAACCAATACTAGAAACCAGGTGATAACAGACAAGAAAGAAAAGACCGGTACGTTAATAAAAGGAGAAACTGATAGAGACAGTTGGAACTGATAAAAGGCAGAAAGAACAAACACTGTTGAGGACAAGACTGGATTTAGTGAGTCATCTGTCACCACTACTTAATAACTCTTCTAAGCTCACCTGGAGCCTCAGCCTCACCAAGAGTCAACCCTTCACTTGGGACTAGCATCTGCACTTCAGGAGACATTATGCTGAATTCTGTACCTCAGAGCTCTAGAAACACCACTAGAATTTTAAAGTTGACAGAAGAATCGGGTTCTCCCATCCGTGTCTTCCACGCTATTTATTGTCCTGCTGAAGATTTCCAAACATAATTTAAAGAAAGGTTTTACTACCTTAATCATGGAATAAAGAGAGGTGGCAAAATTCTTCCTAAACTCCTTCCTAATGTTATACAGATCAATCTCACTTCTGGAAACCACAACTCTGATGAGGGTATGATCATCTGTTCCAGCCCCCTTTAAAAAAGAAAAACAAGAGACACATATTGTTTAAAAATGTCAATTATAGCATCAAACTCTCCTGAGTTGAGTGAGTCAATAAAGTAAAACAACTTAGTAGAATTCAACCACCTGTTTTAAGGAGGGGAAAAAACCTCAAGGTCTATCCTCTAAAACATATTAGAGAAACAAATTACTTAGAAGATTCAAGGCATGCACTTACCTTCATAGCATAGTAGAGGGTTTCTGCAAGGTAGGCAGGTATACTGCGAATGGATTTCACTAAGAAAATAAATAATATAATGGTCACACGCTATTCTAATGTGAAAAGGATTAAGTAATTAAAATCAGAGGTATCTTAGGCATATAGCTCTACTTAAACACAAGTATCAAGTAACACAGGTTAAAGAGCTGCTCATTCACAAGCTGCTCTGATTTCCTTGCTACAGAGTATCTCCACAGACAGCTGCTTGGGGTGGTCTCAGAGTTCTAAAGTCTACACAGAAAGGCATGTAGCACCGGGGATGCTGCAAGATTTTCAACACCCCTTTCTGCTATGACCACCTGTTTGCTGAAATTTTGGCAGCTGGAGCTGTTAAGCCACAACCTCTTCATCCTCATGAACTATACAAATCTCCTAGGAGTTTTCAATATATTCAAGCAAGTAATGTACAGTATTACCCTATGTAACCTGACAAACCTCAGACTATCTGCCTGTAATCTTAATCTAGGTATTCCCTCTGTATTCTATAATATCCATGGTTCATACAGAGCAGTATGAGACTTGCCCATTTTGGTAGAAACACCCAAAGAAAGAGTATCTTCCCTGAACATGTACACATCTACCGTATGTTAGCACTCCTCAGAACACAAATCCACTAGTTTCAGAAACTATCACATAAAAATTCCTCAATATTCAAAAATAGTGAGTCTCCCCCAGTGGTCCAGGGGTTAAGATCCCATGCTCTCACTACCAAAGGCTTCGGTTCAGTCCCTGGTTGGGGAACTAAGATCCCACAAGCTGCATGGTATGGCCAAAAAAAGAACAGGAACACTTATACACAAAAATAACAAATCGCTGATTGGAGGCAGTATTTTCTCTTTTCCAATGCTTAAGAAAAACAGCCACTGGTAACTATAACTGTCATAACTTTTATGTGCATTCTATTTTGAACGGTCCATCTAAAAGATTTCTATTAAAATTCATTAACTACAGATTGAAATGAAAGGCTACTGTTAGTGCTGGTTCATGCATACACTGAGCTTATTTTCCAGAAGACAGACAGCACAAAAGCTTCAGCTCAACACCATATACTTGGAACAAAGAGCAGACAGAGGATCACCCCAAACCCATATGAAAACTGGGACAACAGCAAACTCACAAACTGGATTTTCCCTGGATCTGGAGAGTATGGAATAATACTACAATAAATTGCACAGACTCGGTCCTCCAATTTTCCACGTTATTGTGAATATTTAGCTAAAATAAAATTCTAAACTATTTACTCAGGTTAATAACCACTATCACATCTTCCATTATAGCAAAGATACTTTTTCTAAATCAGATCCCAGCTTTCAGTTTGCTTCAAAACTGTGAGAATGGTATTCTAAAGAAAAAACTCCATGGGTATCAGAAATAACATTTACAAGAAAAATGTTTACCTTTTGAGATAATAATGCCCATACTTCAAGTTCACAATGAAATAATATTTTTAATGCCACTTCAAAATGATTTCTAAAAAAAATTCTCTTAGTGTTTCCATAAGATAAAATGAAATAACCAAATGTTTCACTTTTTTGCAACATCAAAGCAGATTCTGAATTGGAAATCTAGGAGTTTGCTTCACCCATATGTCATAATTAAGCTCTTTTTTTATATAAAGAAATTGATGGTTATTTTTTACATACAGCTTCAACTGAATAAAATACTTTAGCTCTTAATACCATGAATATTATATACATTATAAAATTACTTACCAACAGCAAGAAGAAGTTGTTCCAAATTGCCAGAAGTCTCTCGGTCAATGGTTTCTTCAATTTGAAACCCTGATATAGTCATGTATTTGTCAAACACTAGAAAACATGGAAACAATTTCTTAATCACATAAGAATCACTCTTTCCAGAAAGAAGATATTTACCCTAACCAGGTACTGTCCGATTAAACACCAATTTCCCCTTTATTCTTGCTGACAAACCGTGACTTTGCTCAGAATCTCAATGTGCCAAGCTCAAAACAATGGATTATAAATGTTCTTCGTTCACTCATTTCCCAGCCCCTCCTTACTAGTTATAACCAATAAGACCCAAAGGTAAATTTGCTGGAGAGGATTCTGAAAAATCTTTCTCTTTCCTTATTAATTAAAAGTAATGGACGAATAGGATTAGTTTACCCTTTCCTTCTTGCTGTGAAAATGGCTCAAACGTTTGGAGCAACATCAGCCATCTTGTAACAATGAGGTACTGAGCATGAGAAAGAAAACCAAAGCGCTGGGGACAGCGGAGCAGAAAACAGAAAGAGCCTGGGTCCCGCCAAACCCACCGAGCAATGCTGCCTACAGAGAGCCCTGTCTTAAAGCCACTAGGAGCAGAAAACAGAAAGAGCCTGGGTCCCGCCAAACCCACCGAGCAATGCCGCCTACAGAGAGCCCTGTCTTAAAGCCACTAGGAGCAGAAAACAGAAAGAGCCTGGGTCCCGCAAAGCCAGCCTAGCAATGCTGCCTACAGAGAGCCCCGTCTTAAAGCCACTATCAACAGGGTTTCCTGTTACTTGTAACTGAACTTACTACCAGAGAGCAGAAATACCGATGAAAACCCAGAGCTGAGCTCTGAGGTATCACCTACAGCTCAGTGATTTGTGACTATGAGTAACAATCTAGTGGCCTATCTCCCTCGTCACCCTGACAGCAAAGAGCAGAATAAACATCTCGAGTTTTGTAAAACCTCCAATGGCAGCAAAGAGAATTATGAGATTCCCCAAGGTCACCAAGGAAGAGAAAAACAAACTAGACTCATTCAGTAAAAGCCTGTTATGCGTCAGGTGCTTTGGCATACTGGCTCTTTACTTTCAAAATTAATCAAAGTACCTGTATCACACACATTTTTATCACTCACCTCTTCTCAAATGAGACACACTTCGTGTTCCAAAGATGGTAATAAACTTTTCTTCATCTGTTCCCCATTTAAGCTCTCCAGCCTGGAACAAAGCCTATAAAAAAATTCAACTTCAATTAATAAATTGTTCTCCCATCTCATTTCCAGGTTCTTAATCACACTTGTGTTGTATTCCCTAATATTAATCTGCCTGACTCCTATTTATATTTCAATTCTAATGTTTCCTACTCTGAAACTCAGTTCACTAAGTTTGGAGCCACTTCAAAGCTCACCACTGAGCTCTGCCACAGAAAATTAATGGGTCAGAATAATAAAGCAGGATAACAGTGCTAGGTTAAACGTTTCCAAAGTGTCTACCATGACTTGCAATCATTCAAGAGCAATGATATGTGCGGTGGAAAGTTCTGATTACCTCACTGCTCATACACCCATGTATAGACCAAGAAGGGGTCTGTGATGTGTGTTATGCTTGCTCTGTAGTTGTTCAATAACATATGATAAAACTCCAGTCTCCTTACAACTGAAATTTAGCCAATGCTAGCTACAAAAAGTTTTCCCATTTGTAAGCGATCACACGAATCTTTTTAAAGGTTGTGAACGTAGCACAGTGCCTGGCATACAGCAGGCACTTAACATACATTTGTTGAACAGTTTGAGTGTCTATATTTACTTTTTAACATGCAAAGAATACACTCTCCAATGTTCATATCACTGCTGAAAAAATTACTCACAACCATCATCATTAAATCTGAGTCCACATATTGAGATGTTGACAATTCATTAAAAGTCAAAGAATCAGTCTTTATGATGTCTATACTACCCTTTTACTCATTTCAAGGCAAGTATACTATTACAGCAAGCCAAATGCAATTGCTGAGACCACTACTGAGCTGTCCTTATGCCCAAGGGTGGTGAAACAAATGACAAGAGGCAATCAAAGCACGTGTTCGGATGTAGAATTTTTGATCACAGTATGTTTTAAGAATACAGGTGATACCACTGCTAGGTCTATTTTCTTTTACACTTCCAGAGAAACATATTCACACCCAATATCGAAATCAACTTATTTTAATGATTAAAATAAACAGTATCAATCCTGGTCATGTGAGCATGTTCTTCAAAACTAAAAAGTTATTACAAGAGTCTTGCAAGTATCTAAACTTGAGAACCATATCAGGATGCTACAGACCTCTTAAGGTAACTTTTTAAATCTAATTACAAAATAACACATTCACTGATAAATTTTATAAAACAGTGAGAAAACATAAGTAAGAAAATTTAAATTACCAAGAATTTTCAACTTCCTGAAGATACTGGCTACTACCTCTAGAATGTTTTCACATATAGGTAAGATATACACATACATTAACACTTAAAAGTGGGGAATTACTCACCCTGTACAATAATGCATGCACTGCTGAAGCTCTCCTTTCTTATCAATTGTTTTGTATTTCTAGGGTTATTCTCTAGGAGCTATAGCTTGCATGGGACTAACTGGTGAGATGGCTATTTTTAACTACAGTCCTTAATTTTCTTGTAAGAATTATGTTTGGGATCATTATGTAGTCTAAAACCACTACCAGGGGAACCTGGTGGCCCAGGGGTTGACTCAGCACTTCCACAGCAGGGGGTGTGGGTTCCATACCTGGTCAGGAAACTAGGAACCCACAAGCCACCCAGCACATCCAAAGTATTAAAAAAAAAAAAAACCAATACTAAATCAATCGTATGCAACAATAATGATGGCACCATCAGAGCAATATTTAAGTTTTTAGTTTATCTTATTTTAAGGTAAGGGTTAAGATGAGGCTGCCCTGCGTCCATGGAGCTGGACATCAGCTGAGGGGTCCTCACACTGGCTCAGCCTCCCTCTTCTCTAAGAAGGGGCCTTTCAGTTCCCACAAGCAGGGTGATAACCTCCGCCTCCCATGAAGAATACAGAGGTTTAGGAATCAAAAAAAGACCTGGTCCTTGTATTTATCTCTGTTTGTATTTACTTATCTTAGATGAATTACTTAATCGCTTAAGCCTCAGGGTCTTCAACTACACAGGAATACTATTTCTATAGTTACTGATGGGGATTATATAGCTCACATAATGAATTCACGAAACACTACTAGGCAATCAATAGAAGGAATTCAATAAATATTAATTCCCTTCTCCCTCCTTCATTTAAGAGCTCAACTTTGTCTTCACAGAAAGTATAAAACAAAGATTTGGTGGGGGAAGAAATAAAATTAGTTCAACATACTAAAAATGTTTTTTAAAAAAGTGAATTATCTACAGAATGTTCAATGCCCAGGTGAATGACTCACCGAGGCTTACCAAATCCCTAAAATAATAGGAATCTTCTTGGTGCCAGGAATCAGCAGAGAAAACAATTCAAAAGCTTATGAAAGGGCCCTTTAGTTGTCTTGTATTACTCTGAATTATGAAATCTGAAATTCTCACTGGGGCTTCCCGTGTAGCTCAGACAGTAAAGGATCTGCCTGCAATGCAGGAGACCAGGGTTCGATCCCTGGGTTGGCAAGATCCTCTGGAGAAGGAAACGGCAGCCCACTCCAGTGTTCCTGCCTGGAGAATTCCGTGGACAGAGGAGCCTGGCGGGCTACTGTCCACGGGATGGCACAGAGCCAGACACGACTAAGTTGACTGACACTTTCACTTTCGAGGGATTTACAGGCACACTGCAAGTCTGAGAAGCGCCTCTCCACAGTGCGTGCTCCGAGCAGAGGACTCAGGGAAACGGACGTGAGAATGTCCTGTTCGCACTCCGTGGCCTCCGCCTGCAGCAGGGCTCCCATCACACCAGCAGCCCCCGCCCGCTAATGCCGGCCTTGCTGCGGGCACCAGAGACGGCTGAAGCTGCTCCTCTCACGGTGCCCACGGCCCCAAGAGGCATCCAGAACCCCCCTCCTGAGACTCAGAGCGTGAGGACCAGCACGGCTCCTACAGAGCACACACAATGCCCGCCTGCGAGGCACAGGGCTCACCTCAACAACGCGCAAGGCCCTAATGTCGGGGAGCACGCGTGTGGGGGCTGCTTCAGCCTTGTTCCCTCAAGGCCAAGGTGAAGCTAGATCTTTCCCTCCAACCTATATTTAATAAGCACATTTTAGGGAGGGAGAAATAAGAGACAGGAACTATCAGATAAGAACAGCAAGACTGGTCTAGTGAGAGAGGAAGGGCTTCAGAGTCAGATAAGCCCAGGGGGAAATTCCAGCTCCACTGCGGCTCAGTGGGGGCCACGGGCTTGTTCCTCAAAGCCCTGAGCACCAGCTTCCTCGTTTACAGACTGGAACTGATGCCCTCTCTGTTGGAGTGATGCACTGGTTCACTCGTGAGTTCTCTACTGAGCGCTGATCCTATGCCCTGGGTGGGCACTCAGGTCAATGGGCAGCTTCCAGGTCAGGCAGCACGGCCGTGACAGGGAGCTGGAGATGCTCCCGCCTCCCCTGCAAGGAGCTCCAGCACACACCTGGGCTTCGGGCAGGGCGACCTGGAAAGAGCTAACAGGAGGACCGAGCCCTCAAGAGGAATGAGGTGACAGAGCGGAGACGCGGTGGGAGAAGGCTGGAGGCGTAAGAGAGCGAGACAGATGATAAAACCACATTTAGGGGCCTGAACTTTATCCTGCAGACACTCAGCTCCACTGATGGTTTTTAAGGTTTTAAACAGAGATGGGTGACAACAGGTTTGAATTTTATAAGGGATAATGAGGAAAACGTCAAATGCTTCACAGACAGCCCTCCGCACACATTCCTTTCCTTTCCTTTTCCTTCTCCAGCCACAGACATGATAGCATCCTAACACCATACCGAAATCAATCCATATTAGATTAGAATAACATTCCCCTCTTTTCTATTAACAAAGTCAGATTACACATCCAAAAGCTGCTTCACAGGGAACAGTCAACTGCAGGAGTGAATATAGCTTTTCCCCTTTCAATGGTGAATAACTAACAATCAAAATTTTATATTTTATTACAGGCATACCTCTTTATTGCATGCTTTACAGACATTTCATTTTTCACAAACTGAAGGTTTGTAAACAACCCTGAGTCAGGCAAGTTTACCAGAACCATTTTTCCAACAATATTTGCTCACTTTTGTCTCTCTGGGTCACATTTTGGTAATTCTCACAACATTTCAAAACTTTTTCACTATTATTACATTTGTCATGGTGATGTGTGATCAGTGACCTTTGATGTTACTATGTAGTTGTTTTGGCATAGCAATGAAGTATTTTTATTTAGGGCTTCCAAGGTGGCACAGTGGTAAAGAATCTGCCTACCAATGTAGGAGACACAGGTTCAATCTCTGGGTGGGAAAGATTCCCTGCGGAAGGGAATGGCAACCCACAAGTATTCCTGTCTGGAGAATCCCACGGACAGAGAAGCCTGGTGGGCTGCAGTTCATCGGTTTGAAACGAGTTGGACACAACTTTGCAGCTGAGCTCGAGCACTGTTCATTTGGGAGAGAGACACTGTTTTTAGATATCATGCTATTGCACACTTACTGAAGTATCATGTAAACATAACTTTTATATGCACTGAGAAACCAGGACAATTTCTGTAACTTGCTTTATTTTGATAGTCAGTTAGGGTGGTGGTCCAGAATCAAATCCACACTATCTCTGAGGTAAGCCTATATGGGAAATGTGACCAGAGAGACAGGACTGTGGTATGTGCTTCTAGGAGGCCAAGTAATTCCTTTAACATTTTCCAGTTTTCAGGTCTCATGTTTCAAATTTCCCAACACTTATTTCCTACATTTGACTACTTTACAAACCACATTCAGACTATAATGGGATTTAAAAGCAACTTAAGTACAAAAATTTAATTAGGAAGTCGCTGAAGAGCAACTTAGGAAAGGACAATTCTATTTACAATTCTATCAAAGAAAAGGAGGTGGGATCTTCAAATACTACAATAACATGTCATCTCTTACATAATAAAACACCATTTATCACTAAAATACTTTCTTTTTTCTTCTTTGTCCTTTCCTGCCAGACACTGACTGCCACATGGCCGGTAGCATTCATAACACCTGGTTTTCCTATAAAATTCTCTATTTTGGGAGCATTTCATAATCTAAAGAAAAGTAACACATCCAGGTGGAATTCAATATTTACATGAAATTTATTTCTTTTGTTTCAGCTTTGGGATAAAATATCTTGTTGCCCAGATCAAAATGAGCAACATTGACTTACATGTGTCTTGTAATTTGTAAATAACCCATTAGGTTACTTTTAGATGCTATTATAAGATGTTATGGTTTTCCATTAGCATGGCTTTCTTCTCATTTATGTCATAATAAAGTCATCACCTAAGTCTCACTTACCTGAGCATCTTGTTCAACCTGTGCTTCATCAATTCTAGCGTCAGGGTCTCTATTAGCCTAGAAGAGATATGTCACATTATTGGATGACATGAGCATTTTCATTAAAAAAAAAAAGCAATAGTTCTACCAGATGGTTATGCACATAAAGCTTTTTCTCTTAGGAATAATATGCTTTTATTAAGATCTTACCAATTCTGCAATATTTTAGATTATCACACAAGCACTGTTCAAAACCAACCTGACCCGTTTGGTTTTAAAATCTATGAATAAAAGAGGACAGTGGTATTAAAAAAAAAAAAAGCAGCTATGAGTTAGCTATTAAGAATTCAGGTCAGATATGGTGAAACACAAACCAACACTGGCACCACACAGCCATAATCAAGCAAGTACCAGAAATAATTAAAAGAATTTTAAGTGACCTTACTCAACCAATTTCAGAGTAGTCCAGCTTCAGATTTTTAGTCAAACCACAAATAGTCTCTAGCCAATACCTGAAGGAGGACCACCAACATCCTCTGGTAGTACCCTGAAGTATCGCCCACCACATCATCTTCCAGGCTCGAGCCATATTCTGCAACAGAATAATGTCACTTATTTACAGCTTCTGTCAACTAGAAAAGGATATCTTGCGCATGAATCAAATGGAAGACACATGAAGGAAGAAATATTTGATTAGCATAACAGCTTACCCTTCTCTGAGTGCCCTACAGACTGAAGGGTAAATGCTTTGAGTGAGAGGCTGGATAAAAACAAAGTCTCCCAAGAGCATTTGGTTCAAACTTATATCATGACTTAGTCATTTAGAAACGCTCTCAACCAATGCAGTTATTAATCTGTAGATACTGGATGGTGCTGGAAAGCCTCTAAAATATAATCAATCTTAATTTCAAATTTTTGCTTTGCTTTCCTTTCAAATAAATGTTTTACATGATTCATCTCCTAAGGTCTCCCATTCTCTAATATTCTGAGTTTTTTTCCTTTGGGGAATGGCTTTTCCCTAACAAGATATTTCTCCTCTGCAACAGAGTTATTTCTGAGAGACAACAGGGATATTTTTAAATATGTCTTCCCCCTCTCTATTTCCAGCTGTTCAACATAAAACCACAGCAAAGGGGAGAACCAGGATTTGCACAAGTCTAGAGACACCTTTCACTGTCTTTCAACCAGCTGCTATTAAAGGAACAGCTACTGAACGTACTAAAAGTGAAAGTCTGTCGCGATCCCATGGACGATACTGCACCAGGCTCCTCTGTCCATGAAATTCTCCAGGCAAGAATACAAGTAAGCTGCCATTTCCTTCTCTGGGGGATCTTCCCAACCCAGGGATCAGACCTGCATCTCCTGCATTGACAGGCAGATGCTTTACCACTGAGCCACCCTGGAAGCCCACTGAAGGTGTTACTCCAAGGCATTTAAATATGTCATCATTATTTGAAAGGAGACAAACTTCTACTTCTAGAGGTACAAAAGAGATATATATCTATTTCAATCATTTGCTCAAATACAAAACTTTGATGGAATTTTTTATTCCTTCCTTTACTCCAACACCTATATAAAAATATATAATCAACCAACAGATGCTTTTAATTTCTCCTCTCTCTGATTTATTTGCCTCATACCTCCCACCAACCTAGGTTGAGCCACAACTGGCCAGCTTACCTGCCCTAATACAGCTACCTAATCAGTCTCTTAACTCAAGTCTCCTCCCTCCCTCAATTGTTCCTTTTGTCCACCATCCATTCAGGAGCTTACAGTGCCTTTAAAGCATGCCCAAGCTCCTACTCTAGTCATAGGAAACCACCTGTACCAGAGCCTGACCACAGCTGTTCCATTCAGCTTATCCCCCCACCAGCCAGGCTCTCTGTCCCTCAACCCTGTCTCCACACCATGGCAGTCAGGGGGCGCACCGTGACCAAAAATGCCCACTGCACCCATGCAAGGCCTATCCCGTCTGGAAACTCTGGCTCAGCGTCTGACTGCACCGTGAAGCCTCCCTTAACACCCAAAGCCAAAATGACTCCTCTTCTCTGAACGAATTCTTGCATTAAACATGTTTTCACCTTACTAGCCTTTAACTCTTGAAGCTTTTCTAAGTCACGTCATCCCTAACCACATTGCAAACTCCTTGAGAACAGGAGCATCTTTTGCATCCTTCATGACAGCCAGCACACTGCTGGGCACAGAGCTAGGGTACACGAACACAGGGGAGGGAAGGAGCCCACAGCTACTACGCTCTCGGGGCACCGCGTCTGCCATCCAGCAGTACAAAGCCTCAGTCATCGGAGTCAGCATCCCCGCAAAGAGCTATCTGAATGCTGTATGAGGCAAGACTCAACAGCGATCAGCTGCAGCTGAGATACACATATCCCCTTTGCTTCAGTGGCTTGGACCTATCCAGCTACAAAAACAGGAGCAGGAAAGAGAGATCCAGCACTTCAAAAGGTCATTATTTAGCTGCCACAGATTTCACAGTTCTAATTAGCTGGGCTCCAGTGTCACTTCTAAGATGAACAAACTAATGGCAAAGCAGGGACCTGTTTTCCAAGCGGCAGGCACTAGGCCTGGAGGCCTGCTGACTGAGCCGACAACCTGGATGGTCTGACCCTCCTCCGTCAGGAGAGGGCAGGGTCCTCTATGGAAAATCTGATGAGAAAAGAACTCTCTACTTCTACTTTGCATTACATTCTTTTGGTTCCATTAACAGGCTATGCTTCAGATCAAATCAAAGATTTTTTTTCCACACACACACAAAAATTTATTAAAAAAATATATATATATATACCAAAAAGAAGAGTCAAAATGCAGAGTATTCAAGTACTGTCTTTAGCTAAAACAACGTACATGTACTCAGACATTATCACCTCTAATTTGGGCGAGGTTTCCTTTTCCTTTTCAGTAACTTTTAACTTCTACTAACATAAAACAATTTTTTTAAGCAAGAAAGACCACTTACATTTTAAATTTAGTGTTAAAGAGACAACCTGTATATTCCTACACTGACTGTAAATCCTGTGTGAAAATCAGCTCCATCCTCATCAGAAGGTTCTTACAAATACTAAAATAGTTACAGGTACAGAAAAAAGGTAGTCTTTTCCTACTGAAAAAGAAACTACTTAGAATTGTTGATTATTTGTTTATTCATTCATTAACTCATCCATTAGTGTATGGCCTACCTCCTGGAACTCTAAATAACTGCATTCACTTTAAAATAATGAAACAGTGACAGAAATGAAAGAAAATATAATTTGAAACATTTACCTTCTTCATAAACTTGTTTTATGGCTCTCAATTCTTCAGGGGTCCTTGAAGCAATAATTTCTGTCAGGACTTTTTCATTCGTCCCAGCTCCCTGTTTGGAGATTTATTTTTTATAGGAAAAAAAAAAAAACATGCTAATAAGATTAAAAAGAAAGTGATTTTTCCCAGAATAGCTGTTATTCAAATTGCAAAAATATGGAAATATTATCCAACATAACATTCATTTCTTGTATACGGGTTCTATTAGTTACAGAAATACAAAGTTTCATATTAATTTCTTTCTAAAGACAATTTTATCATTTTTGTCTAATAAACAATGTTTACTGTATGTTATGTGTATACATAATAAATAACAGATCACATAAACTTGTAATTTTATCAGTTTAATTCTAAATAGTTTAAAAATAAAACATTTTAATGAAACAGGAAATAATAAAAATGGTAAAATATTAAAATAAAAAATTTACATAAATTTACACAGATGAACACTGAGACTTAAATCATATGTACCTCAAAGCATAAGCAACTCTGCCCTCAAATTAGTTGCTCTATGGATCACAGGGAAACTCTATAATGAAGGTAACAATAAATGTGGTATGGCTTAGTTATGAGGAACCAGTTACTGGATCAGTATAAAGGAACCGGCACTTGCTGTCTGTAGTTTTGACGAGTAATTGTAGTTTGTTTTCCTTCCTGATAAAAGTCTTACCTACACTATTAAACTAGAAGATACAAGTAATGACACAGCTGAACTTAATTTTAAAAGATAACATACTGAAGGCTTAATTTCTTTATATTTCTGTTTCTTTACCAAAAATGAAACACTGAAAAAAAAAAGGTTTATGCTCTGGCAAAATTTTAGCTACTATTAACATTTCAAAAGGCCGAAAAAAGATTTTCTTTATTCCAGAGAATCACTGTAAGAAAATGAAGCAGCAGAGAAATTTTCTCACTTGACAAGCCTTCTCTTCCCTTCACCTGAGCTACATGATGATCTCACTGTTAATTTCAGTTTGCCCATTCAAAACCTAAATACTAAGGACTGAGCTACTTCTAGTCCCATAAACCTAAACAAATGATTCAATGTAGTCATATTTTATACAACATTCCAAACACCAGGCAAGGGAATATACATTTAAGTTACTCGCTACAATGACATTATATCAAGCTTACCAGCTGCTTCATTTTAGTATTCAGAAGTACAGGAAAGTACAAAAGGGTATTAGAAAATCTTTCTTATCTCAAAGTTCTCTTCAAAACTTCATCTTTTAAGCTAAAACTATTGACAATATTGTTGCCTAATCAGGTAACTTTCCAAACTAAAGGACTGAATAACTAATCTGTTACATTTTGAAAATATATCTCAAAATTAGGAAACAAGCATGAAATAAAGCATAAAAGCCTGTAAAATATATTAAAAATTTTAAAAAACACTATCATTGAGTTAACTATACAAAAGGGTTAAATAACACACTTGTCATTTTTTCCCTCCTTCTCTTATTGCCTCCTACAATTCTGTCCTTCAAGAAACCCTCAGTGAAATCCATTTGTTTTAATATAAAAAACACCATCAAGTAATTACCAACACAAAATATTATTATACATGACAGGAATGTTCCTTGCACTCATCTTTTTACCTTAAGAGCATGCTTCAGTTCATAGGCATCATAAAGCCGAGAGGGTTTCATCAGAGCCACGATTAATTTTTCAAATTTTCCAGTCAGTTCTGATTTCAGGTCATCCAGAAGGTCCTAGTACACAGAAAATATAAAGTTGTGAACAAGGTAGAAACTTTAAGGAGATTCTTCTTAAATATGAACAACAGCCCTTTGCACCAATGAATTCTTTACGTTGCTATCTCCAAGTAGAAGTAAGATGCACGAGCTAAATAATACCCTAGAGCTTTGCATGATGTACTTTTGACACCTGACCTGCGACTTGAGCAAAGTAAAGACACTCATGTGTCAAGATATTTGTTTTTAAGATGTTTTTCTTACTTTCAGAGATTTTAAAAAACGACTGTTTTTAAAGAAAGCTAAAAATATTTTTAAAATACTGTTCTGAGAACCCTGTCTATTGCAAAAAAATACTGCCCCCCCCCAAAAAAATCATCAATGCATTTTACAAGGAACAAAATTTGACCTATTGAATCTAAACAAAACATGTTTTCTCTTCTCTCCATATCTAAATATTTTAATACAAAACATACGATGTTCTAATATATAACAGATTATGTATTCCAGGACCTAATAGCTTATGTTCATTACTATGCCCCTGACCACTGCAGGACAATTGCTATTATGGGGAACTTGTCTGTGTAATTTTGAAGATAAGAGCAGTACTTTGCATCCATTTCAGTTTCAGGACACAGGCAACCAGAAGTTGTATTTAAAATACTTTCTTTTTTTTCCCCTTTTTGTTTCTTGAAATAATGAAAAAAAATTGTCAGAATAACAAAAGTACATTCACATTTTCATGTCTGTACTAATTCACTTAGTAACAAATTTAGTTTTTAGTTTGAGTTGTTAATCAGGTAAGCACATTTAAACCAATGAATTAAAATTCATTTATTAAAACATCCCTCCAACGGAACCAGACTGTGACTGCATCGTAACAAAAGATGCTGCGATACAGGTTTACACCTGGGAGATAACACACCAGTCCTGTGTGTGAGACACAGAAGGCAAGGGGGCTGTGAGCACCATGAGAGCTTTCAGCAACTTCATGGTGTCAAGCAAGGAAAATCCACCCCATGAAGGTAAGCTGGGTGAGCATCTTAACCAACAGCTCACAACTAAGAAACTAGAAAAGGAAAAAGGAGGAATAGGATATCAGGATCATAAAATAAATGATATTTACAAAAGAATATCAGGAGATTTTCAAACAAGTCTTAAAAGATAAAGCTGCTCTCACAATTCTACCTTGGGATGAAGTACGGTCTTACCCTGCCAAACAGAGTTTTAAAAGCCACAGCAATCTCCTGGCGCTGAGCATTACTGCGGGATGTCAACAGAGTCAGGATGCTCTCCTCATCCGTGCCTGCAATTACATTCGAACCATTACACCTTGGCTCCCGTGCCCCTTCTCTCAAAAACCTTTGTAACCAGATCCCCAGTCATTCCAATTCCTTGCCTCATAAAAAATATTTTATTAAACCATTTATTAAAATGCAAAATTTACAATATGAAAATGTTATTATTTCCAACAATGCATACTACCCCTAAACATGATAAAGTAGATGCAAAAATTATCATTTTTAAAAAACTAATGCACTTAGTTTTTCTTGCAACCAAAGTTATTCAAGTAACACTTCTTCACAAGGTACAATGTATTGGGAATTATAGGATACTGAGAAAGGAGAAAAGATACAGACCCTGGTTTCAAGTTACAAACAATGTAGGGAAAAAAAAAATACAAATAATTGCAAGCTAAGGTAGAATGTGACAAGATCTTAGGAGAGGTTCAGGTGTTAAATGGGGGTTCAGAGGAGGTTCTCTAAGCTGACAAGTGGTAGAAGACAGTTTTGGGAAAAGCTTCTTGGAAAAGGTAAATCCCACCCAAAAGGGTCTTAAGCATGAAAAGATTTTGCCAGGCAGTGACATAAAGGAAGAAAACTGGCTTTTAGAATTCAGGGAAAGCTCAGGAGTAGGAAGACGCAGGTCTTTCCTGAAGAGGTGATCACCGGGGAGCAGCTGGATCAGGGGACACGGCTGGGTCAGGGGACACGCCAGGCGGTGATGTGAGCTGGCGGAGAAAGAGGGCCGGAGCACCAGGGAAGCCCGTGCACCTGACCCCGCTACAGCAGGAGACCTCACGAGACGCTCAGAATGCAGAGCGCTGGGTCAGAGCATCAGGTCTGAGGAAGATGGAGCCCTTCACAAGGACATTAGTGGAGGAGGAGTCTGAGGACCAGGGGAGCAGTTATCTGTGGGAATTCCCATGGTGAGAGGTTTCCAAAAGGGCAAAAAAGAAAAAAAAAAAAAAAACGGCAGAAGAGAAGACAGTGGGATGCAAGACACTCAGGGAGCCAGACATCTGACCGGACACTGAGAGCAAAGGCTGCATGGCTCACCACCCTCAGAGACGTCTGCCTGTCGACTCAATCAGCTGCTGTGCGGGTAAAGCTGAAAAGCTAAAAATACAGAGGCTGAATCTAACTCCTGTCCAGGTCTACAGACTGAATACTAGGGATGGTTAGTCATTATTTTTGTTATCTTAATTACCTACTCCTTCTATGTACATTCAGCTCAAAATATTCTAAAATTAGTCTTACTGTAAAACAAGGCATTTTGTTCAGAAAAACAAGTGTCACATTTTTTTTAGAACAAAAAGAAGGCTGAATTTACCCAAGCCTTTCATGGCCTTCCGGAGAGTTTCTGCATCAGCCCGCTCATCGAATCCAGGAAAGTCAGTCACGGTGCCTCTGAGAACCTGGCACGGGAACATTTTTTATTATTAACGGTGTGACTAAGACCACAAACAGCATAAACTTTCTCTGTCTCATGTTCAGACTTTGCATTAATTTGGTAAGATGCACAGCTTCACTTGAAGTGGGAGATACACCCTGACAACGTGGATCAGCAGTGCACGGGTTCGGGGCACAGCTCTCCTGGCCATTGGCACTCCCGGGAGTGGGAAGGCTGGTGTCCCGCCTTCAGGCACTGCCCCAGGGATCCAGCCCCACCAGTGCCTCCTGGTTCACGGAGCACGCCTCCTTACAGGCTTCTTTCCCATTCAGTCTCTCATCACTTTGGTCTGCATGCACGCTCAGCTTGTATTAGAATTTGATGCCTTACCCTAAGCACTCAACTCTAAGCGATGCTCTTAACGCATCTAGACCTATCGCTCAGGGATTTGAAGATTCAGCAAAACCTGAAAAGATACTCAGTTGCTCATGTGCCCGAAGAATACAAATTTCTGAATTCAGAGTTTTATAAAGATAGATTAGAATTATAAATTATAATTTATATTTTATAAATTATATATAAATATATATTATATATTTATATATATTATATATTTATATGCATAAATAAATATATATTTCACACATATTTATGTTTATATAAATATATTTATATATTTATTAATATATTTATATTTTATATATTTATAAAATTTATATATTTATAAATATATAAAAATTTATATTGTATATAATATATTAAAATTTATATATTTATAAATATATTAAATATATTTATATACTAAATATATTAAATTATTTACATTAAATATAAATATATATATTTATAAATTATAAATATTCTATTTATAAGATTTCCTATGTTATCATATTATATATAGTACTTCTAATCATCCAAGTATTTTATTTTTTAAAAAAGTTTATAATATCATTAGATCTTTAGAATCCAAAGGCTTTACTAATCCTGAGCCATAAATTTTTATCTTGTGATAAAAGGAGGCTCCCAGGATTTATTTTTACCAATAAATATTCCTGAAGTACCTCACAACTCCTGGCAAGGTTCCATCTAAAACTGAGAAATAAAGAGCTACAAGGAGTGGAGGTTGAGAATGCTTGTCTGGTTTATAATCACTTGTATTTTACTATGAAGGCATGGAAGCGCAATCTCCTACAAGGAAAAAAATTTATCTTCCACCTTAACATCCAATTGCTGCATTTGCCAACAATATGAGAACACCAACCAACCAACCAACCAACCAAATAAAAGATGACAAAAAAAAAGAGTGCTATCCTTGGGGAAGAACTTCCGCGGGACACAGCACCAGAGGCCAGCTTGGTGACCTCTCTTCAGTGGACTGAATTATACCTCCTGAAGTAGCACTTGAGATTCAGGAGACAGATTCTCTCCTTGACCAAACTTTAGACAGAAACCTCAGAGCCTTCGTTTTGACAAGTGCTGGCATCAGCCTGCCAAGCCCAGTTGCACAAGAATCTTGCTGAGTCAGTTTACAGAGAATCCCCCCCCCGATACTTAGTAACTGTTCAAGTTCCTCCTCTTCCATCTTTGATGTATGAATCTGTGGGCTGCCTTTAGCAAGACTCCTATGAGGCCAGTTCAGAAAGAATCCTCTGCCCTTGATGTCTCCTCTTAGTAACTTCCCATCCACTGGCACCCTCAGTCTGCTCACTGGTTACACATCCCCAGCCGCCTCTGCTGTATTTGCACTTGAACCCAATCTCTCTCTTCTACTGAAACAGCCATGACCATTACTGCAATAGTCTTGAAAGTCTTCCTTACATGTTAAAAACTACGAGAATAATTTTTTAACAGTAGTTTTCTCTCATTCAAGGCAAGAAGAAAGATTCTTCTTTCCTCTAAACAGAGTTAGCCTTGAGAGAACCTACAGGAAGACCTTAGTGCTATAATGATGTGGCCAAAAGTATATAATTCCTCCCCCCCCAAAAAAGTATATAATCCCATGGAAGAGATGTTCCCCAGTTTGATCTCCTAATCTAGAGTATTGACTGGTAGCAACTTTCATCCCCACCCCTACCCTCTCCTCACACATGGAAAACAATAATTTGTGGACCTAGCTTGAGCGTGTAGGGATGAGAAAACTCCCATGCCCACCCTGGAGGAGGAACTGATGATGGAGACATGATGTCTACTCAAGAAAGACAAAGAGGTCTTCTCCCTCTCCCCACTTTTCCTCTGATTATAAAACTGAAGCCCAGTAAATTCTCGGCATGGCATTTCTCCCCCATCCACTTGTAAACCTCACAAGCATTCTATTCTAATAAATCACTTCTTATCTGTCACTTTACCTCTCACTGAATTCTCTTCCACTCTGAGACATAGAGGACTATGGTAACCCGAGCTCTTCAGACCCCAAAAATGACACAGGATGCTTTCTTTCCCAGATACCGGGCCCTATTATCTCTTCATCCGGCTGTTCCTGAGTTGTATCTTTTTATAATAAACCAGAGATCTGTAAGTAAAACGTCTCTGAGTTCTATAAGCCAATGATGTGGTCACTGGAAATCCCAATCTACAGGCAGTCAGTCGGAAGCACAGGTGACAATCTGGACTTGCAACTAGCATCCAAAATGGCTGAATACCAGAAGCCTGAAGTGGTTCAATGTAATTACAAAAAGAACATTAGGTTGGGAGAAAAACTGGTTAAGATTTGAGGAAACGGCCTTTCAAAATTAGTATGGGTTAGGAAAGTTATTTCTCAAGTCCAACTGCAATTTCTGTTTAGTAAGACCACTTCAAGTCGGTGAGAAAGATACCATCAATATCATCACAAAAACGAATAAATACCATGGGTTTTCTCAATGTGAGAACTTGAATGACTTAGTTCACCTGTCTGCTTATTTATTCATTCAAAACCATTTTTCGAATGGCGAGGAAAAAGTCATGATCCCTTAAGAGAAAATGACAGACATGTAAATAATCAAGTGCAACAGAGTATATTCACACAGAAATTTCATCAGCGTAATGTGAGCACATAAAGGAGGGACTAAGATGAGAAAAGCGGGAAGACAAGAAATCAGAAAACCTTCCTCATAACAAGGAATAGTTAAGGAGTCTGGGATAGATGTGTACATGTTGCTATATTTAAAATGGATCAACCTACTGTATAGCACAGGGAACTCTGCTCAATTCTAAGTGGCAGCCTGGATGGGAGGGGAGTTTGGGGGAGAATGGACACATGTGTATGTATGGCTGAGCCCCTTCACTGTTCACAACATTGTTATCACATTGTTATCACACCATTATCACAACATTGTTAATTGGCTATATCCCTATAACATAACGAGTTTAAAACCTGTCAAAAAAGAAAAGAAGAAAAACTTCCCCGCAGTGTCTGAAGAGATGCCTGTGATCTTCCAGGCAGGCTCAGGAAAGCAGAGAAGGGCAGGCAGGTATTTCAAGGGGCATACAGACATGAGAGAAGGAACCGACGTGGCACTCTGGACAGTGGGTTAAGTGTTTCAACAGATTGGAGCCAGCAGGAAGACTGGAGAGAAAAGGAAAGAAGTGAAAGGTCACCACAGGGAAAGGAAGGCTGGGAGTCACTGGGCCAGACAGACCTCCCTGGTTGGCGAGGAAGCCCCGGAGGGCACTGCAGCAACCCCGGAAAACAAGGCTGAGCCCGCAGGGCAGCAGCGGGGACAGCAGGACAGAGCTGTGCGTAGTGGAGACAGAACGGCTGCTTAAAAACCACCGAACAGAAGGCTAAAAAAGGCCTGATCAAAGTCAGGGCAGGGGAGTGGAAAGGCAAAGGCAGACTGGAACAGGGCCAAGGCAGAGGAAACCATGTAGGATGATTTGTTTTTTGGAAAGGGAAGAGGAAGGCTGCTTCTGCCTTCCTCCACAAACTGAACCAACAGCAGGCGTGGCAGTCGCCGCCCGTCACCAAAGACAACACTAAGGGAATGGAGAGAAGAGCCAGAGGCGAGGGGCAGGTCGGCGGCCGTCAGAAGAGCAGATGAGCCCAGCGCTTCAGGGGGTCCTCTCAATGAAACCCCATTTCACATGTGTAGAAACCCACTGGCCGAGAAGGGTTTGGCAGGTCACTCAAGTGACCGGCAAGCAAACACACAGCAGAGCTGGGACGCAGCACAAGCCACCGGCCCGCGGGCTCCTGACTAGGATGCTACACAGCCTCCCAAAGGCGAAACGGTAAAATCCAAAGAAGGTGATGGAACGGAAGCCAAAGCAGAAAAGCACTCCAAGGAAAGGGAGAAAAGGCAGTGTGCACACCCCGGGGCGTGAGCCACGTGAGAGGAGGAGGCAGCGGGGCCACTGGGGCTGGCAAGCAGGAGGTCCCCGTGGTGGCGAAGTCTGGCTGAAGGACACCGACGACCGAACTGAGAGGCCGGGCATCTCTGTGAACGCCCATCCTACAAACGGGTGGGTTTTTATATTTTAAAAAACACACTTAAAAAAATACTTTATCCAGGTTACAGGCTCTGAAGAAGCTGCCATTAGAAAGAGAAGTTAAAAATAGGGAAGAGATTAAGAACAGGAGACAGGAGGGGTCTGCCTTAAAAGGAGAGACATCTGACCCCTGATCCTGAGGAAAATGAGGTGAAGAATGGAAAAAAGAGACAGGGGTGTCTCCTCACGTCTTAGCTACTGTTAAAAAGAAATAACTGCTGGTTGTATTTCTGAGAGTTTTCTAGAAACTGGGGAACAGTCTTGCTACATTCCACTTGATCAGTGATCGTGAGTAAGCGAGCGAAGCCACGCAGCAGTAGTAAGGACCAGATGTGAATCACAGGACGTGAGTCACACAGACAGAGCCCGTATTTGGATAGCCATGTCCAGCTCCATCCCCACCCACGCCCACACCAAACCAAACCACGGGACTCTCAGTGACTCACAGAGGGCTTACCCCGATTCCTAGCATCGCTGCTAGCCTCAAGCTCCACACACACACCTTCCCCCGGTGAATTCCAAGGGTAAGCAGCTACTGTTCCCTGAGTCTGTCCTCAG